ACTGCCCAACACGTTACCACTAATGTGCGAGAGCGACTGTGGTACACACTGCGCAGGTGAGGAACGGGCAGCTGAACGCAAACGAACATCCTTGTTGATACTTTGAAAGGAAGTAAACTAAACACGTCAGCCTGTAAATTGTAAATGTCCTCAAATCTTCTCCATTTCACTCGGCCAGTACACATTTAACATTTCATCAATATTTCTTTTTAAAGTAAATTCAAATTAATTAAGCTAATTTATCATTAAGGTGAAAAGGTGCCACATTTAAAAAAAAAAAAACTTTAGGCTACTTCAGGCATGCCTGCATGTATTTAGACTCAGCTGGGATTAAATTAAATGAGAAAAGTTGATCTACAGGAGAAACATATCTGACATCAATACAGAATGCCTGACAGCCTTACTGCATTATTATATTACACTAAATTACTTTATGTTGAATTGTCACCTCAGACATTTCCTCAAATTGGTGCAAAAAAAAATAAATAAAAAAAAAAATCACCAGAATGCAGGAAATTAAGTGTTTCAGGGGGAGGACCCCCCCCCCCCCCACACAGTTAATATTATCAGTATTAATTATGAGACAGATGTTAGAGTTACTGTGTAGAGGTCATTTACTGTTGCTTTTGTTGCCCCTGTCTCAGCTTTTTTGGAACATGTTGCAGGCATCAAATTCAAAGTGAGTGAATATTTGCAAAAAACAATAAAGTTTATCATTTTGAACATTAAATATCTGGTCTTTGTGGTGCATTCACTTGAACATAGGTTGAAAAGGATTTTTCAAATCACTGTATTCTGTTTGTATTTACATTTTACACAAATTCATTGGAATTGTTGGGTTGTAATTAGGATCCTGAAGAGGGTTTGTGGACACTACAATAATCTGGCAGATGAGACTCTGTGTGATGCGTTTACTGACTGTTGGAACATTTGGCTATGTAAAACATGCTTATTTTCCTGGTAATAATCACCGTTACTGTCTGACCAACTAACGGACATATGAGGTTCCTAACAGACGTTTTAATGGTCAAGTATGGGTGGAGTTTCCCTTTAAGCAGAATAAACAGTCACAAACTAAATGTGTGTGTGTGGGGGGGGGGCATGTTTAGTCTTGTGTAGACTTTGTTCCCCTCTGAGCTGCTAAATGTTCGCGTTTCTGCTGCATTTGATTTGCCTCATTGTTTTCATATGAACACGTATAAAGCAGCAGCCTGACAGCAGCCGACCACACGCTGAGCTCTCAGCATAACAACCCCCCCCCCCCCACCCACCTCCACCACAGAGAAACCTCTGCTGTGAAACCTAATTTAACAACCCTCCCTTTATAAACACGTTTCTTTTCACATTATCGTTCCACATTTATTTTAAATCACATATGCATCAGCGTTGGGCAGCAAGATTATTAGTGGAAGGAATTAGTATCTCCAAAACAGCAATACTACTACAGTTACTATTAACTGTAACTGGGCAGTACGTCGATGTGACCGGCAGGTCAGCAGCAATCTACTGTTACACACACCAGCAAGGTGGCGGCAGTATGCAGTTGGTTTGCCAACCGCCATTAAACGCAGAAGAAGAAGAAGAAGAAGGTCAGCAGCAGACTGTAAAAAGGAGATTTATGGCAGGATGTTTACAGTAAAACTCCTGGAGTTGTTCCGCAATTACTGAGATCGTTATGACGTCTCATGAAAGTCACAAACTGCTCGAGTGTCGCCGTCTTTAGTTTGTTTACAATGTGCAGATTCGGAGGTCCCGGTCCTGGTCTGCCCCCTAGTGGATTCAGGTTTAATCCTCCAGGTACACGCAAAGTACGCAGGCAAGTACAGACCCCTCCAAAAGTAGTGGAACGGTGAGGAAAATTGTTTTTGTTGTTCACTGAAGACATTTGAGTTTAAGATCAAAAGATGAGACAAGAGCAACAAGAAACATCTGTCATGTTGAAAAAAATGGTGGGTTCAAACAAACGGTGGTTTGTCCTGAGTTGTTTAACTCATCTAGATGTGAATACCAGGAAATGAGAGCTGAAATTCTGAACTTTTGTCTCATCTTTTGATCTTAAACCCAAATGTCTTCAGTGAACAACAAAAACAAAGTAATTAGCCTTACTGTTCCAATACTTTTGGAGGGGACTGTATGTGAACAAAGCCGTTCGTGTCGCCGGTCTACGCCTGCGCATTGTTAAAAAGCGAGTATATCCAGGGCTTTAGATGTAAAGAACTTTGTCATAAACTTTGTGCGAGCAGCAGAAACATTTCAGCCACCAACAATTCTACATCTGATTTACTGAAACATCTGAAGCAGCAACGTGAAACTGGAAGAAAAACCAAATTCCTTGCTGCTGTTATGAAAATGCTGTTAGTTAAAGAGTCTTTGTGTAAAAAAAAAAAAAAAAAAGTGTTTCAGTTTGGCTGCTTGTTGATTTCCATTTCTGTTCCTCAGACTAACAGAAACTGTGATGAGTGTGAGACCGCAGCCTTTATTTCTTCTGCAATAAAATAAAATCACTTTAAAACAACAAACCTGGAAGCTGGAAGGAGATTCTCTTTCTCCTGCGAAAAGGTTAAAACCACCTCAGTGATAATCTGACCACGGCTGAAAGGCTTCATCGAGGCACTCGGGCACTACAAAGCATGCGTGTTTAATGCGTACAAATATCCACAGCGCACTGTTTCACACGGACGATTATTACTGTCGCACAACGCGCTGTGGAGGAGAGACGAAGCAGCGAGGGAGGAGGAAGCAGAACTCATTCTGTAATAGAGGAAACGGATGTGAAGATGTTTCTGTTCCTGGGTGAATGACTGAATCCCTGCTGCTGCTCGTCCTCCACTTGCAAAGACACCTCATCCATCAAAACCCACTCCAGGTCCTGATTCCTGGACGGCAGCTTCTGAATGATGCTCACACGCGAAGCAGACAGACCGACCGGAGTTATTTTAAACCATTCCTCTCCACAGCTGCTACATACGCTCCTGTCAGCTCATGAGCCCATCGCCAACATTTTTTAAGTTACAATTACACATCAAATAACATTTAAAAAATGGGCGAGAGGGAAATTGTAAAGAGAGAAGACAAAAAAGTCAAGCTAAATCTATTAGAGGTTAGCAAGGCAGGGAGTGGGAATGTGATGCGAAAGAGATGTGTACTGAAAGAGGACTAGAAAGGTTATGATGTAGGAAACACATTATCTGTACTTGTTGTTCCAGGGAAGCAACTTTCTAGAGTTGGTTTGGGCAAAATTAAATAAAATGCTACTTGTGTGAGCGTCAGTACAAAGAACATGATGGACGATTGAGATAAATGAATCACAAGGGATAAAGGAGGATGATAATAAAAATGAGAGCGTTGGCACAGGGCATTATTGCTACCAGCGAGAGGAAAATACAAAGTCTGTTTCTGTCCTGACATCAGGATCCTCCAACACTCCCAGCGTGAAACAAATTTCACACTTTATGTAAACTTGGTGGATTTATATGCAAGTGTAATATGGTCAGAAACATGGGGACTACTTCATTAATGTGCAAATATCCAAGGAAGTTGATTGATGTTCTAAAGAACGCGTCATTACAGGAAATTAAGCCGTGGTTAAATAAATCAGTTTATCACAACATATCACATATCTCACCATTAAAACTGTTTTCCAGGACATTTTAATGTTCTCTCATTTTCCATGAGTTTTCCATGACTGGAAAATTGTTTTCCAAACTGTTTTCCAGGACGTGTGGGAACCCTGTCTTGGAAATACACTTCCCATGATGCATTGTGGGACGGAGCCACTGAGTTAGCTGGGAGCTACAACCGGAGCCCCTTTATTTTGTATGTGTTGTCTCCATTAACAGTAGCTGAGTTAGCTGTTAGCAGCTCCTGCTAGCAGTTAGCAGCTCCTGCTAGCAGCTCCTGTTAGCAGTTAGCATCTCCTGCTAGCAGCTAGCAGCTCCTGCTAGCAGCTCCTGCTAGCAGTTAGCATCTCCTGCTAGCAGCTCCTGTTAGCAGTTAGCATCTCCTGCTAGCAGCTCCTGTTAACTGTTGGCAGCTCCTGTTAGCAGTTAGCATCTCCTGCTAGCAGTTAGCATCTCCTGCTAGCAGCTCCTGTTAACTGTTGGCAGCTCCTGTTAACTGTTGGCAGCTCCTGTTAGCATCTCCCTGCTAGCAGCTCCTGTTAGCTGTTAGCATCTCCTGCTAGCATCTCCTGCTAGCAGTTAGCATCTCCTGCTAGCATCTCCTGCTAGCAGTTAGCAGCTCCTGCTAGCATCTCCTGCTAGCAGTTAGCAGCTCCTGCTAGCAGTTAGCAGCTCCTGCTAGCAGTTAGCAGCTCCTGCTAGCTGCTAGCAGCTCCTGCTAGCAGTTCCTGCTAGCAGCTCCTGCTAGCAGCTCCTGCTAGCAGTTAGCAGCTCCTGCTAGCAGTTAGCAGCTCCTGCTAGCTGTTAGCAGCTCCTGTTAGCAGCTCCTGCTAGCTGTTAGCATCTCCTGTTAGCAGTTAGCTTGGTTGTACAGAAAGCTATCACTGAAGAAACTTAAAAGCATGATGTAGTAGTTTTCTCTTCTTCACTGACGTGTACTGGAGAGAACAAAACGAAACAATGCCGATGAGAAGGTTCATGTGTCACACGTCCGAGCAACGTGCACACACAGACCCACGACCATGAGCATGATGGGAAACACGTTTGTAACAGACCGCAGGGAGGGGGCGGCAATATCAGCGTACTGAGAGAGGGAAGAGGTGGTGGAGGTACAGGAAGAAGAAGGAGCACGATAGCTAACTAAAATTAAAGAGTAAATGTCCTTAGTTTTTGTTTATTTATTTGATTAACCGATAGGCACCTGTTCTTCTTCGCTGTTTACATTCCTCTACAGTGCAAGCAGACAAGCTAACAAGGCTACCAACTATTAGCATCCTGACGCCTTCTGTCTTGGTCACAGGACACAAGTCATAGCGGTCTGCCAAGAGTCTCCCGAGGAGGAGAAAAGTAATTAGAAAAAAGGCTCTCTGACGCACTGACCTGGGGTCTGTTGCTGGACCGTCTCGGTGAGGTCCTGCAGGCGGACCAGCAGCAGCAGAGATCCGGCTCCCAGCAGCAGCAGGAACCACAGACAGCAGTACAGGGAACAGGGCGGCTTCATGGCCTTCATGACACACAGAGACTCCTGCAGCCTAAACTCCACCAGGCTGATCCCAGACCAGCCACGACTGCACAGCCTGGGGGGGGGGGGGCAAACAAAAACACATTCAGTTTACTGAGATAAAAAACTGACATTCATCCACGTCTATTAAATGGTCCCACATGAAATTAAAAAAAAAAAATCATAAAAGCAATTTTATCTTATCTGCAGCTCAGCTGGTCAACAAAGTCGCAATAAAAGTTCATTCACATTCAATTCAAAGAAAAACTGATCAGACACTCAACACATAAGGTTTATTAAGCCGTGGGCATATTTCTACATCACTACTATTTATTTTACCATATGATCCCTGTGGGATCATTACTGGCAGCTGTGTGTCAGGTAACAAATAATTAATCCCATAATGTCTAAAACACACTATATATAAGTTGTGTAAAAGTGGGACGCTTCCGGTCTGAAACGAAAAGCCAATGCGGAAGTCCCTTAAACCTGCATTGTATCTTAACGGCCAGCAGGGGGCGACTCTTCTGGTTGCAACAAGAAGTCCCGCTTCATTAGAAATGATGGTAAAATGTTTCTACTTCTCAGCTGATTTATTCCCTCAGTAAACACTTTCCTGATGAGTTTATGGTCTCAGTCGCTAGTTTCAAGTCTTCTTCAACACAGCATGATGTTCATTTAGTAAATTATGGTCCCATTTAGAGGAACAGAGACCAGGAAGTAGGGGAGGCTTTAGGATCGTTACCATGGCGACCTGTCAATCAGGCTAGAGCCGACTCGTACCCACAGCACTGTGTAAATTTAACCAGCGCCGTTGAAAAAGTTGGTTGTTCACTTTCTCTGGTGAGTACAGTAGGCCACCAACAGGCCGCCAGCAAGCCACCAACAGGCCGTCAGCAAGCCGCCAACAGGCCGCTAGCAAGCCGCCAACAAGTCACCAACAAACCACCAACAACCCGTAAACAGGCTGCTAGGAACCCGCCAACAAGCCGCTAGCAAGCCGCCAACAAGCCGCTTGCAAACCACCAACAACCCGCCAACAGGCCGCTAGCAAGCCGCCAACAAACCACTAACAGCCCGCTAGCAAGCCACCAACAGGCCGCCAACAAACCACTAACAGCCCGCTAGCAAGCCGCCAACAGGCCGCCAGCAAGCCGCCAACAGGCCGCCAGCAAGCCGCCAACAGGCCGCCAGCAAGCCGCCAACAGGCCGCCAGCAAGCCGCCAACAGGCCGCCAGCAAGCCGCCAACAGGCCGCCAGCAAGCCACCAACAGGCCGCTAGCAAGCCGCCAACAAACCACCAACAACCCGCAAACAGGCCGCTAGGAACCCGCCAACAGGCCGCTAGCAAGCCGCCAACAAACCACTAACAGCCCGCTAGCAAGTCGCCAGCAAGTCGCCAACAAACCACCAACAACCCGCAAACAGGCCGCTAGGAACCCGCCAACAGGCCGCTAGGAACCCGCCAACAGGCCGCTAGGAACCCGCCAACAGGCCGCTAGGAACCCGCCAACAACCCGCCAACAGGCCGCTAGCAAGCCGCCAACAGTCCGCTAGCAAGCTGCCAACAAACCGCCAACAGGCCGCTAGCAAGCCGCCAACAAACCGCCAACAGGCCGCTAGCAAGCCGCCAACAAACCACAAACAGCCCACTAGCAAGCCGTCAACAAACCACTAACAGCCCACTAGCAAGCCGCCAACAGTCCGCTAGCAAGCTGCCAACAAACCACCAAAAACCCGCCAACAGGCCGCTAGCAGGCTGCCAACAGGCTGCTAGCAAGCTGCCAACAAACCACCAACAACCCAACAGGCCACAGGCCAATGATGGTTACATTCTGTACAGTCAGTAAGTTTTGGTAACTTGAAGAAATCTTAATTTTAACATAATGCTATCATGGTTATGCTAAATGGCACGTGACAATATGTAGAGCCTTTTCGAGCAGGCTTTAGCTACTTCCATTAAAAAGAGTCTGCAACAGCGCTGACTGGTCCTTGAGCTGCCGTACAACATTGCAGGTGTGGTAACCTGGCAGAGAAGAGACCACACGGAGCCAATCACTGCAGTGTTGAACATGCTAAGCTAAGCAGCAAGTAGTAAAACCTCCAGGGTACGGAGGACAGCAGTGACACTGGATTAAAGACCCCTCCTTCGCTCCAGCCTGGCTGCAGTCATAACTGGCCCGACCACCAGGGGGCGCAGTCACTGTGACGTAAACAGATCCAGGGTGGACTGGCTGTGTTGTTGGGAGGATGTGTTTGAACATGCTGGCCGTGTGCGTTTACTGCTAAAGAATCTCACAGAGCTTCCTGCTGACTGCACACTTCTTGCTCCCATGAGGCCGTGCAGGAACATCTGTTTCTCTGGAGTGCAGTCAAACACACTTACCTCAGCAGGTGTGACTACAGTAGCTATGGAAATAAACGACGCAGGTACACACATGTTCACACTGCAGACCGAGCTGATATTCCTCTCTGAGACTGGGAGGAGTGACGATGCCCCCCTGCTTCGTTCTGACCTCAGCTGGCTGAGCACGCTCATTAGAAAGAGACACAACAGGAAGCAGCTCAGCACACAATGCAGGAAGAAATGCCAAGAAACGTCTCAGTTAATGGCTCACGAGGACTAAAAGATTCCACAGTAACAAATCAAATAAAATGCATTTTTTTCTAATTTCACTTCTGGTTTCTGTCCTGTTGTTTACAGCAGAAACAGCTGTGAACAAACACTAGCGTCTCTTAACTTGATAAGTTTGACTTGTTTCCAGCAGCTACAGAGCAGCCTGTTGGTTCATGTGAAGGCGTGTTTGTTATGGCGACCGGCGGTGCATGCAGCAGGATGCTCCTCCACCCGACACTCTGAGGCTCCACCCACACTCCTACATCTTCGTTTTAAACCTCAGGCCTTCTGCTGCGTTTCCGCCAGACTAACACACTGAATCTGACACCTGAAACACTTAAGTGTGAAAACACTGATGACCCCGTTTTGGTTTTAAACTCCGGGGTGGCGTGTTAGTGCTGACAGGTGGATGTGCATGTCTCCGTATTTACTTTGCGCCGTCTCCCAGTCTGTTTCCCGCCGCCACAGCCTCTTTGTCCTCCCGTGTTCTTCTCAGTAACCGTTCCACCTCGCTGTCGTTCCGTGCAGAGAAATCTCTGCTGTGGTTCTTCACCATCGCTGCTCTTCGCTCGTCTCTAGTAGAACTTTCTTCTGCAGCTGCGGAGTAGAAATCTGAGAGTAGAATCTGCTTCCTGTTTACACCTTCACGCACATGCCCATTGCACGTGAACGGTCACGTGATGTGTTTTTTCACTCGTTTTATTATAGACAGAGATCAGTTCTGATACGCAGCTGAAACGCTGGTGAAGACGGAGAATGTTTTTAAAGCTAGGCGTAGTCGTGTGGACGCAGCCTGAGCGACAGGAAGCTGCACCCGGACAGATAAACAACCAGAGTCACTATAAAGCTCTGTGAAGCCGAGACGCAGCAGACCGTCCAGAGACTCAGACTCGCTGTCAGCTCATACATCACTATTACAGAAATACACATTACAGACTCTTTAGCCAACAAAAACCTATAATCTGAACATATTAGTGGTGTAAGTTTTTCAGCCCGGTCTCAGTGTTCGACCTCGTTGCTCTAAAGATGATTTGTTGCCAGACAAAGAGTCCAGACGGCTTCAGTTTGATAAATTATTTTAATTATAATACATCTATCACTAAAAGCTCAGGCACACTGACATTATACTGGATTAATAAAAGCTGGGAAATTAATAAAAATCCATTTTTAGCTTCAACACGAACAGATTTTGGTTCATATTTCTGGGAGCACGCTCAGCTAATTCACTCTTCATTATCCACTGGTCTGCTGGTTATTTTCACAATTAATCATTTGGGCTCCAGTTTCCCAGAGCTCGGGTCAAAGTATTCAGATGTCTTGTTTTGGTTCAGACCGAAAAGATATTCAGTTTATGAACTCAACATGTCAGCATGTGTCTGATTGGATCTGAAAGTTCAGCTCCACCTGTTCCCCGTGGCCCTGACAGCAGGACGGGACCCCGTCGACGGGACAGTGGACTCCTCTGATCAATCAGTTCATTGAGCTGACTGACGCTGCAACTCAATGATTAGTTCAACACAAACTCGCATGATGACAAACAGCACAGAGCCCCAGGAGTTATTTTACCATCTATCTATCTATCCGTTACTTTCATTACCGACTCATTTTCAATAAATCCAGCCATCGTTATCGTCTATAAAACGTTACATTGTGCTAAAGCCCGAGGTGTCGTGAACTCAACATATACAGCCAAAGCTCTGCAGGACATCAGCTCAACCCTTCCCATCACATCTCTGACAGGACAGCAGTGAATCTCCGGCTTCTGCAGCTCTTTTGTTCAGGGTTTCTCGCCTCTCCCTCGCAGCTTTTGTGCTGCTCCTGGCTGACTCTGAAAGGGATTTTGTTCTCGGCCTCTACATCTTCTGTTATCACAGCGTCATTGGTTTAGAAGGAATCCTCTTTTGTTGCTATTAAGTGCCCGATAATAAAGTGGGACCCAAATCCAGATTTTTGTCCCTTTTCTGTGCTGGAACATGATCTGAATTAAAGCTGCATCAATAGAGTCCTGATGAAGGGACTTTTGGGTAAAAAGGGTTAAAATGACACGTTTTCATCTGACTGTATTTCTTATTCCAAACTCTGTACTTTTAGTCTGGCACTGAGATAATGCCTCTCCGACAAGCCCACCAAGCCTGTTCTAAGGGCCCGTGTCCACCAAAGCGTTTTTTTCAATTCATTGCAGTGGGAGCGCCGCGTTTTTACAAGCTGGTAAGAACGGCGGCAGCGTGACGAGGCACTGAGCGTTTTTTTTCCGGTCGCCGAGAGTTGAAAAAATGTTCAACTTTGGGAAAAAACGCTGTCACTTTTTACCAAGCTGTGCAATCACAGTGCAGGAGGGGCGGGACAAATACCACACCGTAGCAACGGTTACCATCCTGGAACCGGGCTTCATCCAACCACAGCTCTTGGACCAAACGGTGGTACTCGCCGAGCCCACATACGGCGAGTCCGTCCTCTCT